TTGTCCAGTTTGATTAGACATATTTCCCAATATGAAGCTCTCTAGATTGTGGAGAAGATTCTTAGCTTCTTTCTCTAGTTAAATCACCTGAATTTTAGAACAAGCTACCATCTTGTGCTCTCAGACATATGGTTTATTATGGTTAATATTAGCTTAATTGCTTGACACCTAGCCACATGTAAACATAGCTACTTGTAGTTTATTCAAACTACAGATAAACCAAGATTAAAAAATATCCCCAGTTTAGATGTTTAGTGATATTTCAGATATTGTGATATAGATAGGATAAAAACTAATTACCAACAGCAATCTAGCATTTGTAAGAAAATACCTTACAAGGTAGTTTTAATTCCAGGCCCATACGTCAGATCTCATTAGCAATTTAAACCAACCTCAAGAACTTTCAAGTAGTTGTAGATGTCCTTCACATATTCACTGCAGAGGTTTGGATCAGAAACATCATCTGTATCTACATCTTTCACTTCAAGCAGTACATCTGAGAAAGCCTGGCATAATATGTCCTCTGCTGGAGCACAGCCAGATGTTTCCATGGGGCTTGGGGATAGAGACTCCAACTATAAAAATATATTTAGTACTTAACCTACAATATTAGAAAAAATGTAGCATGTTTTTGCTTAATTCAGAGCATCTTTCTTGCACCCACAGATGATGTACCAGGAAAAGGCTACATCATGTGTCTCTAAGGATGCATTTGTTTGCGTTTCATAGACAGAAGTTAGTTATTTCCAGTGGATGTTTCACCTTCCAGCTGCATGACTATAGATATAAATTCATTAGCTGATTCAATGATATTGCTTGTTAACATGCAACTATAAAAGATCTGCTGGTTATCTATGTTTTATTGATAGTACGTATTTAAGCCTGACTATATACCAAGGAAGGGTCTAAAGTACAGTTGTAGATCAGAGGTAAATTGAAAGGCAAATCCTTCAAGAAATTGAAGGATAGAAATGCTGAAGTTGTTTCTGCTCTAATTATGCAGTGGATTAAAAATGTAATACTGTTGCAGAGAAAGCAGCAGTTCTGACTAGATGTACTATACAAAATGTTTCTTTGCAAGTATATTGTATAATTAGAATATTTTTTTAAAACAAATGCTGTATTGATGACATCTAAGCAAAGTAATTACGTATGCTTTGTAATTTTTAAATTTATTAAATATATATGCCACTCATCTCACTATACAATGTGGCATTTGATTATGAGCAAATCAAGTGACCTCTTGATTTTAGGTTAAGATGTACTTTATATTTTTATATTCTGTCTCAATTAGCATCAAGTAACATAACAATGTAAGAAGGTAAAGTAAAATCTTCCATAAAATCACTATATAGTCCAGAAAAAAATTCATATTAAAAGATTGTTAATTAGGAATACCAAAATCAGAGTCAAACCTAGAATCTTAGCCAAAATATGTTTTGCCTGTCATAGCTAGATAAGGCTAACATATTTCTTTAGGCTATCCAGAGGTCATTTGAAATTGCAACCTATTAAAAGTAAATTATAAAAAATATAAAACTCATGCTTCCGCTTAAAAGTAACAACTATAGATTTACAAATTTAAATAAAAGTCTTTGCTCCTAATTACCCATGATCTTTAAACACTTATTTACAAGCTATTTAATTAACCTTAACAGGTTCTGGAATTGGCTTTTCTTCTTTCACAGGTTCATTTAGTTTTTCAATAGGTTTTGTGGTTTTCCGAGTAGTTACTTTCTCCACGGCTATAGGCTTCAACATTTCCTAAATGGGAAGGAAAAAATGAAAGATAGCAATAAGCAGGACTGTGGCATTACTAACTCCTACTGTATTATTGGATAAAGAATAGGCAAAGAAAGGATTACCTTTTTCACTACTTCTTTAGACTGTGGCTCACAAGCTTTGTTGCCAATGTCTCCCAAAGCAGTCCTAGGCCTCAAAGCCGGCTTGCTAGCAGCAACCCCCCGCTTACTGAGGGCCATTGCAGGTTTGGTTTTGTTCTCCGCATTGACCTTTGTGTTCTACCAAAAAAAAAAAAAAAAAATTAAGTGACAGAATATTCAGAAATATTTACCCAGCATGATGAACTGGGAAGGAAAATTACATAATACTTTTTCAAGTAGTTGTAGGGAAAAATGTTATGTTTTAGGAGTAGGATTCAATCAAATACGTTTAACAAAGTGAGATGACGCTTTTTCCACCCACAACAGGCTACCTCGACTTCCCCGTTCAAATATAGGATTAGAAATAGGAGAACCACCTCAGAGACATGAACAAGGTATATTTGTTATTCGCTCCATTACTGCACCTTCATCATTGACAAAACTAGCACAACTGATCTTTGTGCAGATTTATTTAGAAGTAAACCCCACGATGCTCAAAAGTATCCCCCCCCCCGTTAAGTTAGATAGAAATTCAGCATAAATGGCCGCCAGGTGCCTACAAAACGTAACGTGCAATATCGGCTTAAAGATTCCCCGTCAAATTCCTCCCTACCCGGGTGACCCGCAAAGCCATGACCTAGGCTGGATTCCTAGATCCTCACGACCAGCCTGCTCCGAATCGCTCCCTTTCTCGCCCAGGACCAAGACACCCGATTACTGCTACGCACGAGTCCGATATCCCCTTTGCTGCCGCTGCAAGTTTAAAACTCGCACCAGGCTGCGCTCATTGGCTGCTTTTCAGTTTCCGCCTCTTTCCATTGGCCGCGCAGCGTTCTATTCTAAATGCGTTTCTACGACTACGGGAGGCTGATTCCTCCAAAAGTTCGAAAAAGGAGGCGTGGTTAAGAGAGGAGGATTGGCAGGTTGGATTACATGTCCTTCAGTTTAGTGTTCAGCTGGGAAATAAAGTTATTTACTAGAAGGGTGGGACAATTGTGGGTGGAAATTGGGATCGATGACTACTTTGAAAACTTAAATTACGTTTATGCATATGTTAACTGTAAGAAATTTTAGAAAATATCAGTTCCTATAATACAAATAATATATCACAGCCTACAAAAATATTTTTTAAAAAATTATTAAAACACCATATCTGTTTTATGTGCCAGAATTTGAAATTTGGTGTATCTTTAATAAATCAATACAATGAAGTGCATCATCGTAAGTACAACCAATACCTTTTTCCCAAGTCCCGACTAGGTCCCCATATGTTTAAATACGTATAATTGTCAGACAAATACCTATAGTATCTGATTGCATGTTTCTGCTGGAGCAACTGCAACGGTTGAACTTTGCTGGTCGTAGACTTGTTAAAATGTAGATGAAAAAGAGATAGTTTCTCCCAATTTCTTATTAATGGATATTTATTATTTTCACATAAAGGTTACTTATATAGAAAAGTCAGTAATTTTACTGTCTCAGCAATGGTGTATGTAAAACCAAGAGATAAGCTGTTGGGTCAGTTAAGTCTCTTCTTATTTGAATGGTGAAAGAATTAGCGGCAAACAGTAATACTCTCATACCAAAATCTATAGAAGATATTTGTAGGTTTTATTGATCAATAACATCTTGATATCACTTCACTATTATATATGTGCCTTTATGTGATTAAAAACTACTTGTCCTAATGTTAAAAGGTAATGATATTTAAAGTCTCCAGGTAACAAACAGCACAATCCAGGAATGTCTCCTAATAAGTAAACCTCAGGCTGGCTTATTCCCAGGTGAAGATAGGATACAAAATTTAGGAACGTTAAAAGTCTTTAGTAGTATCTGCCATATTGTTAATGTATGACACCTGTTGATTTTATGATGTCATTAAACTGCTACTGCTTTTATGGAGCTATTGAAGCAGTTACTTATGTTTCCAATAAGCAATGGTTATATTGGCTGAGGAATTGTAGTTGTGGGGGAATGTTAGGCTGTTTAAGGCTGTTATCAAATCTTAATGGGTCTTGTGTAGCTATAACCAACACATAAAAGAAACTGACTGAGGAAAAACATCTTCACAGAATTTAGATAATAAAACTGTTGAAGGACATCATACTGGGACAAAACACTTCCTCCAGTTTGAACAGAAACAAGTAATGATCATATTGAGTTTTATCCTGCTGATCAAAAGATTTCTTCAAATTGAGTTTGATTTCTAGTAATGCTATATAAGTATTCATATGGTTTTATTAACAGCAACATCAAAGTGCTTGTCAGTGCTTGCTTTTAGACACTTAATTTTCCAGCCTAGTCCACTGCCCTTGGATTTCTTCTTATTCAGGTCCAACTGTGCTATGGCTGTGGTGGTGGTGAATCAGGTTTGGTAGATGGTGCCATCTGCTGTAATGGCTTGGCTTATAGTCACTCAGTTTGCTTACCAAAATATTGTGTTGGACTCTTAGAAACTTTATTTACATTTGTCACATCCATTTAAGTCTTGTACTCTTCATTTTAACACAGAATGGAACTTAAAAGTGCTGGATTGTGCTAAATACCTTTATCTTTTTTTGGCATTCAAAGGTTGACAATACAAGCAGATTCAACAGACATAATGTTATCTATGTATTTGTTCAACATTCATAGCTTTAGAATACTAGGGAAGACAAACTGCATCATATTAAGCAGAAATGTGATGCATTATCTTAAAAAGGGGGATATTTAAGGTCAATTTTTAACTGATACATATGGACAACTGCCTCCATTATTTGAAATACTAAAACGATCAATAATACTTAAGGGAAATTAATCTCTTAATGATCTCATTCTTGTTACATCTGAAATGAAGACACATCCTTCCCTATGTTCTCTTTCTAACCTCTCTATCACCTATTCTGCTTGTTTTAATATATGTTGCCATAACAGGTATTGAACGTCTAAATATTCTATGCCATTTTAGAGGAACATTATATTATAGCTCCTTAAAATTCTACTGAAAATTCAACTCACAGTATCATTTTCTATCTTGATTACTATAATCAGAGACAAATGGCTCAAGGCAGAAAACTCAATTGTCACTGATTTTTTCTAATTTTAAACCTGTAGCTTATACAATAATTTCACTAGATATTTATAAAAATTATAAAGTATTTATTTTACAGTGGTTCAAACGAAAGAACACAGAAGTGCAAAAACAAAAAAAAAAACACAAAAGTGTTTCCCTCCCTGATTTGTGGTTACCAGGGTTTTTTTTCTTCTAAAAAAAAATTAATTCACCTGACAGTATTTCTATAGCAGAATCTATTTTCCTTCATCTAAAAAAGCCACCCTTAGAAAACAGGATTGTATACAGAAATGGAATATAAAAATGTACATTTGTATTTAATGTTCTTAAAAATATTTGCATTTAATGTGTAAAAATACACATAAAGCAGCAAAGCTTCAAAATAATTTTGAAGACTATTTTTTATGGAGTCTGCTAATTTCCTTTTCAAAGCTTATGAAAACAATTTTAGGTTGCAATGGAAAGAATTTTTCATTATTCCTCTTTGGGGAAAGTGTACAATACATTTGTGCTCATCCACATTCATATACCAAAATCAGTTTAATAAGACACCAAATACAATATTTTACATTGCCATTATTTCCACATATACAGAATATGTTCTAAATGTCCCACATTTTTTATAAACCTCTTGATCTGCTTTAAAGGTATATAACAGTTTGTTTAAAATCCATATATATATATGGATTATAAATCCATCTATGTGCAAATTCTCTTGATGAAATAATGAAGATAGTGAAATCGACAGATGTGAACTCCAAATTACATGATGTAAGTACCATCTTTGTAGTACTTCATGGATTCCATTTGTTTTGTCATTGCAAGGACATCGTGGAACCCTGTACTAAGGCCAGACATATGCTGAAAATAAGCTTCTTTTTCCACCTGGATAGTCAAATTGTTAACACCAACATCTTTGAGAACAGCTGATACCTAAACAAAAAATGAACAGCAAAACACAAACATTAACTTTTCAGATATCACATAACTTATATGCACAGCACATCATGAGAAAGGCAGGGCTAGATGAATCAAAAGTTGGAATTAAGATTGCCGGGAGAAATATCAACAACCTAAGATATGCAGATGATACCACTCTAATGGCAGAAAGTGAAGAGGAATTAAAGAGTGCCTCTTGATGCGGGTGAAGATGGAGAGTGCAAAAGTTGGCTTGAAACTCAACATTAAGAAAACCAAAATCATGGCATCTGCCCTCTCAATTCCTGGCAAATAGATGGCGAAGAAATAGAGGTAATGATAAATTTTATTTTCCTGGGCTCCAAGATCACCGCAGATGAGGACTGCAGCCAAGAAATTAAAAGACGCCTGCTCCTGAGAAGGAAAGCTATGGTAAATCTAGACAGCATACTAAAAAGCAGAGACATCACCCTGCCAACAAAAGTGCATATAGTCAAGGCCTTGATTTTCCCAGTTGCCATGTATGGCTGTGAAAGTTGGACCATAAGAAAGGCTGTGCGCCAAAGAATTGAGGCCTTTGAACTATGGTGCTGGAGAAGACTCCTGCGAGTCCCTTGGACTGCAAGGCGTTCAAACCAGTCAATCCTAGAAGAGATCAACCCCGACTGCTCCTTAGAAGGCCAAATCCTGAAGTTGAAACTCAAATACTTTGGCCACCTAATGAGAAGGAAGGACTTACTGGAGAAGAACCTAATGCTGGGAAAAATTGAGGGCAATAGAAGAATGGGACGACAGAGAATGAAGTAGCTGGATGGAGTCACTGAAGCAGTAGGCATGAGCTTAAATGGACTCCAGAAGATGGTAGAGGACAGGAAGGCCTGGAGCAACATTGTCCATGGGGTTGCAATGGGTCGGACACGACTTTGCAACTAACAACAACTTTTCAGAAAAACTCTCTCTGAAGATCTAAGCAAGACCACTGTTCTTAGGCAAGAAATACTACTCTATCACCTACATTGTAAATCTTTTGCAAGTGAAAAACATATTTCCTTTAAAAGCTTCTTTCTGGGCAGCACAGGAATGATTTGTCTCAGCAAGTCTAACTTGGGATTCTACTTTTTCTATTGGTATAATATGCACAAAACCTACAGTGAAAACACATTGTGCCCAAGATGCTACAATTTCAAGCAAAATTGGAAAAGCAACAGGGAAATTAATTTAATTTCCCCATTCCTATTGGAAGTCTGCAAAGTTGTACTGATAAATCTCGGCATAATTTTTTTAATGAGGTAAGAATAGAAAAATAAGTGCATTAAGCAAATGACGTTATATTATACTTATTTTTTCAAAAATGCATAAAATGGGAAAAGTGCTCCACAGTTCCATGTCTGTCTCATCTAATAGTCATCACTGCTACATCTGTTAGAAACTTCTGGAGGCTTGGAAATAACTTTGAAAATGAATAATCCCCAGACCAAGATTACTTTCAACAATGCAAACATAGGGAAGTTATATGCCAGACATGTTAAAATTATCCACCAGTTTAAACATTCTACTAACTGAAGACAATGAGCAACTTTCAGAAGATGTTATCACAAAGGTGTTTTTTAGCTTATTAGATATACCATTTGGTTGTACTATTAGTGACTGACATTTCACTAGTCTAGAGAAAGTCATAGCTGTGAGAACTGAGGATTCATGAAGAATGAACATACTAAGCTACCTGCTGTATAATTCTCTGTTCCATTACTTCTGACATTACTTGTACATGTATTGTGCCTGCCACTACATTAGCAGAGTGACACCAGAAGTGAGGATCTCTATAGGAGATGACACCATCTATGTTCTGGATCTGTAAAAAAAAAAAAAAATGCAGCATAACCATTAATATTCTATAATATTGTTCAATATTATGCTACTCCAAAGAATTAATTTGTATGAAATTATAGGCAATGTTACTACTAACCTTTTCTAAAGCCATGTGCAGATCTTTTTCATGTTCTTGAGGCAGTCTCAACAAGAGTACCTGGCAAGCATCTTTTAGCAGAGGGATAACACTGAGAAAAATCAATGTAGCAATAAATAGAGAACAGAGTGGATCAGCTATCAACCATCCAAACTGTTGAATGAGAATTGTTGATATGATAACACCAACACTGCCAAGAGTATCTGCCAAGACATGTAGAAACACTCCTGGAGGGGGAAGGAAACACAAATCATTAATACCCTTAGCAGTTTAGTGATATGAACAATACCGATAAGTATTCCTATCAAGTACTCGAATCAATTTGTATCAGATTTAAAAACCTAATATCCTAAAATACTTTCATGATCTATTTTTAAAGAACTTCATTTATTACACTTGTATGCCACTCAACTCCCAATAACTATGGGCAGATCACAAGTAAAATAAAAAACAGTAAGAAATAAAAAAAAGAATAAAAAATAGCAAAGATGACAAGAACTGAACAAGAAAAACAACACAAACTCCACAATCCAAAGGAGTTTGCCAAAGTCTTTATCTTATATGTGATTAAAAAACCCCTTTTACAACCCTATAATCCCTTAATTCAGAGTAGAGACTGGGAGACTGAATGGAGCTGAGTGTTTACTGGCTGGATGCCCTTCCTGATGGATGCCTTTCCTTATATTATCTTAGATGTCAGAGGTCCTCAAGGGACCAGTTCCATGGAGAGAGGTTTTTCTGTGGACCGGAGGGGGCGTGGTTTCATGTACTTCTTTCATCCCGTGGATGGACTTTGTTTGTTTGTCTGGCCCAGTTTCTGGCATGCTGTGGCCTGGTGCTGGTCCATGGACCGGGGGGGGACCCCTGTTATATGTCATTATATGGTAAATAAAAACTGAACTCATAAAAAATCCATTGCTTTCTACTTACCTCTCATATTGGTATTCATGTTGCCTCCTAACGATCCATGCCCGTGTCCATGATTATGAGTGTGCCCATAGTCATTGTGTGAATGGCCATGACCATGGCTGTGATGGGAATGACTGTGCTCATGCGCATGGCATCCTCCTCGAGAAGGTCCATGGGAATGGGCATGGCTAAAGGCACAGATACCAACAAGGTTTACTATCAGTCCTCCAACTGAAACAGGCTGCATGAAGGAGAACAAAGAAATCTTTATACTTTATTTAATACCATTAACTATGCCTAAGAAAACAAAGAACCCAGACTAAAGCAACTTCCCCAAGTTGCTATCCTCCACTGGAGTTGGTTCTATAGATTCCAGAATTCTTAATAAAAATAGAATGAATATATTGCAACATAAATAATAGGTTTTGTATTCAGAGAATCATGATGCTGATGAAACTTAGCATCATGTAATGCAATGTTATGTAATTCTCAGGAATAAAGAATCATACAATCTTTCACTCTGCACAACTAAGAAACAGGTGGATGAGCGCAAGATTGTTATGTTTACAGTAGTGCTATGTATGAAATTCCTTAGCCATGTATATGTTCATTGTTAATATTAGTCAGAGTTTGATGCTAATTATGATTTGGAACTAGCTAATTCCCTTTAACTATCTAAATAATATATGAATGTACCCCTTGAGAACTCTTAAGAACAGTGGACCAACAGTCAAGCTTGACTGATTGATTCAGTCATTTGATTTACAATGGCCACCTAATCACAATGCCTCAAGTAGTGTTAAGGTGGGTTAAAAACATCATTAAAACAAACAAAACAAACAATATAGGACTAAATACAAAAACAGCAACACATTGAAGAATATGAAAAAATTAAATAGCAACCATTCAAGAAGTTCACAAATTGCCCTGACGCTGACATAAAAGCCTAATGTTGGCACTGATTGTATGTCATTGAACAAAATTCCTTGCGTTCTGTAAAGATGGATGCAGCTAAATAGCTTCCTATTTCAGAAGTAATTTAAATTCTGGCCATAAGAGAAATGCAGATTAGATTTAATCTACCACTGAATCATTGTGCCATCTGCTAACCTTATGTTCCAGGTTTTAGTACAAAGCAGAAGATGGAATTTAGCAAATTGTGAAGCAGTTGCTAATTTTTATTATACAGAATCCTTTAACCAGGGGAAACCTGAGGTAATTATCATAATATATAGTTCAGCCTGGACAGAAAAGATTACGTGGAATCAAGTTATACTTTACATTTATTTTTGTTTAAGCAGGGCAACCATTGCATACATGAAGAATAATAGATTATTTTATTATTATACATTACTTGAAAGAGTCTGATTATTAATAGCCCCTTAGTCTTTATTAAGAGAAGGCAATTAGATTAAGTGGGTCACGGACACATAAACAGACATGTATTATTTCTTTTATTATTCACATAATTCTCTCCCAACTTTCATCTTGAGAATGCACAGTTCTGAATCCTTTTATTGAGGTAATGACAAGACACTAGGTTTTGTTTTTATCTCCAAGAGGAGAAAAGGGCAAAACAACTGCATTTTCTCTGCCACTACCAACAGAATAACACTGTCCATTTTTGCTATGAAGACAGATGAAATTATGACACTTTATGCCCATTTACAAACACTTCAGTGTTTGCTACATAAAAATAGTAGGATGGCGGTGACTCTGGCACATAAAGGCTTTCTGAGTTGCTGGCTTGAGTTCTACACTCTTCTAGCCACATTTTCTCTGAAGGCAAAGCACCTTTTAAAAAATTTAAGGTTGAAAATTTTGAGGCCAGCTAAATGTGACTTATTTTCATTGTCATAGGAAACTTCTATGAACTTAACAGGCTCAGAAATGCTTGGAAAAGTGAATCCTGTTTCTACTGAATTTTAAAAATGCTTTAGAGCAGTATTTTTAAAGATAACAGAAAACAAAGTTACAAACTTACTGTCAACATATTTGTATCTATATCTGGAGGATCAACCAGTCTGGCCACCGACTCAATAAAGACAAAGAAAGCTATTACCATGAGAAAAAGGCCGTTAATAAAACCTGAGAGAATTTCCACACGGCCAAACCTGTAATTGAGAAAACAATAAGACTATAGACAAAATATACTGAGATGTTCTGAATATGCTGAAATTCCAAACTATTCTGAGAATCCAAGATTTCAAATAGTCCTTGCTTAACAATGCTAATTGGGACCATTTTTTTAAACAGATTTTTTATTTTATTTCAAAAGTTAAAACACAAATTCCAACCACCCTCAAAATACAAACAGAAAAGAAAACAAAAATAGACAAAACATTTAAAAATGTGCAGTAAAAAGGATAAAAGACAAAAACACATATACATATATTATCTCCCCTGGTTGATTACTGATAAATATACTGCAACAATATTAGTTTCTCCCCTTGTGAAGCAGGCTCACAATTTATAAATTTCTACATCTATTTACAACCCACTTGGCCTATCCTCTATATACTATACATAAAAACAAAGTAGTTAACAGGTAAATCAACAGCGAAGTGAAACTTCAAAGTCCTCTGTCAACAACCTGGATAACTTTCTTCTTTGTAAAACAGAATGGCAAAACCAAACTTGAGACATTATCAGTCAGGTTCCAGATGTTCTATAGAAAGCTGGAAGGATTCTTTCTTAATGCCCAGAGCTGTGATACAGGTATTATTGTCTCTTGCTAGTATAACTGAAATCTGATGAAGAAGACTTTGAAAAGTAGCAATGGTGCTTACTTATAAAACTTTTCTTTGAGTGCCCTGATTACTGGAACTTCAAGAAATAGTTGGCAAAGTGGTTATTCCTATTTTTCTCTTTCCTCATAATGGTGGCAATCATAGCTATCTGAGGAAGCCCCCATATGTTAAAGCAGAGGTCTTCAAACTTGACCCTTTTATGACTTGTGGACTTCAACTCCCAGAATTTCTCAGCCAGCGTGCCTGGCTGAGGAATTCTGGGAGTTGAAGTCCACAAATCATAAAAGGGCTAAGTTTGAAGATCCCTGTGTTGAAGACATTCCAGGGTCATTTTCCATAAATTCTGCCATAATGAAAAGCACCTGGGAAAGCTGAAGGGGCAATGTCTCAGCTGATAGCTGGATTCCTAGGAAAATAACCAAGTGCAAAACAGAGGTTTGAGGATGGCAATCCCATTCCTGCACTCTTTTCCTGAAGTGCCAGTGGCTGTCTGGTTTTTCAAACTCCACATCAGAGAAAAGAGAGACAGAAATAGAAATTCCTAAAACAACTTCTGAATCAAAGACAGCTAGCTGAGAGAAGTTTTTTTCTTAGGAACCAGAAGGAAAATTTCACTCTAACCCTGTACTGAGTTATTATTTTTATTTATTATTTCAGTTTCAAAGCTGTTCTACTCCATAGCAATTCTGGGCAGCTTGAAATAAAATATTTAAAAGGAAATAACACACACACACACACACACACACACACACACACACACACACACAAATGCAGTTGACTAGAAGACAGAACTAAAAATTAAAAAGAGGCTCAAACGCTGTCCTAACTCAAGGCTTTGGATAGGAACCAAGTATTTAACACTTTGTGGAAAATTAAGTGTTGGGAGTAGTATGTCTCTCCTCCTGGTTTGTAAACCTTGGCTTAAAAAAAACGAACTAAGGAGAAACTTCCTGACAGTTAGAACAATTAACCAGTGGAACAACCTGCCTCCAGAAGCGGTGAAGGCTCCAACACTGGAGGTTTTTAAGAAGAGACTGGACAGCCATTTGTCCAAAATGGTGTAGGGTTTCCTGCCTGAGCAGGGGGTTGGACTCGATGACCTCCAAGGTCCCTTCCAACTTTATTATTATATTATATTATAACAATACAGAAATTGTGATTATTCAAAAACAATATATCATTGTTTACTTTAGTGTAAACTGAGCCTTCCCATTATATTTATTTGGTTTAATTTACCTGTCTTTTTAGTCTCACAATCTTGTCTTTACATCCTTTAAAAAATCTTTATAATTTAACTATATACATACCCATAGGAGAATATACGGGTTGCTTTCCATCTAGTCATCAGCGCTGCAAAGAGACCCATAACTAAAGCTGAACAGTCAAAAAGCATGTGAAACCCATCTGAAATTAATCCTAGACTATTGGTCCATACACCATAAAATAATTCTATAAATGTAAAAGCCTAAAAAAAAAAAAAGTAAAAATTTAATTTTGTCTTTGAAAATCAAGCACATTTTAGTGTTACATATCTAAATTAGAAAAAAATCATACCTAGTGGGAAAAATATATAAAAAAAGATGTTCTACTCTACAAAGTATAATCTGGAAGAAAATTATATTCTGAATAAGCTTTTCAAATGTTTGTTTTTATAAAAGAAAAAATTATACCAGAGAGTGATTTCTGTTAACAACTGTTAAAACAAGGATGCAGAAAAAGGTTTCAGTCCTTGTCTTTTGAGCTGTGATGGTGCAGTGGTTAGAATGCAGTATTGCAGGCTAATTCTGCCCACAGCCAAGAGTGTGATCCTGACTGGCTGAAGGATGACTCAGCTTTCCATCCTTCCGAGGTTGGTAAAACGAAGACCCAGATTGTTGGGGGCAATATGCTGACATTTGTAAACTTCTCATAGAGTGCTGTAAAGCACTATGAAGTGGTATATAAATCTAAGTGCTATTGCTATTGTCTTTTGCCTTTTAGTAATTTATCTAGCTTTGATAAGAGTAAAACAATCCACTGATCCATTATTTCTTTTCACCGTGACAATTTTATGCCTAAACATTTAAAATGCACAGTGTAAGACAGGATCAAAAAAGTTTTTAACAACGCTTTTAACGATGGTTGGGTAATGTGGCCAAGAGAACAGCTAAGAGAACAAAATACCACCCTATTTTCAAGAGGAAACAAAGTAAATGCTAACGCCAAGTCAATCAAGTCTACACAATGGGATGGAGCTCCTTTTTATACAGTTTTGGCAGTTGCAATTTTTGGGTAGGACAAGATATTTTGGACAAAGCTTGGATGAAGCTGACTGATATTATCCAGGAACCTATAATATAAAACATATAAAAATAGTGGAAAGGAATCAAACACTCTTTAGTGTTTCCTGCCCACACCCATTTTATAACCTATGAACATTCTCAAATGCCATATCACTGAATGCTTTTTTGTCATCAGTTTCAAAAACAGTTGCCCTTCAAATGAGTTCACAAGTCATTTATATGGTTCTGTAAAACACTGTCATTAGTTTTACTTCTGACTAAATGGACAATTGAAGTCTTTAAGGATATATACATTTTTGTGAAGTTAACATTCATACGAAAATGCAGAGAAATAAAATTAGTCTCTGACTGCTAGGAAACTTCTAAAAAATGCAATGCCAATAACACAAAACTGTTTTATCAAGTTATCTATGGAGAAACGGGTTTCCTTGAGAAGCTTCCATTAAGATGCAGTGTTTTATTTAAAGTTGTAAGGCTGGACTATATGACCAGCGCAGGCCCTTCCAGAGAGATTTACATTAAATAGAGGCTTCTGTTTTATTCTCTCTCTCTCATACTTACACAGGGTTAACTATTTTAAAGATAAGCTTACCAGATTTAGGCATAGAAAATAAAAGATCTGCCTTGAATCAGACTCCTCAAGAATTTGCTTCAATGATTCTTTAATAAATCGAGGCAAGGACTGAGAGCTGTGTTGTAAAGCATCGCCCATAAAATTGTATAGCGGTATTCCTTCTGGTGAATAACCAATAAGAGTGCCTTTCTGCCCTTTCCGTGTTGGGGACGAAAGAATATTGGCAGCTGAAAAAAAAACAAAAACTTATATCTCACATGAAATACAAACAAATTTTTAAAAGTTTTTTTTCAGAGACTCAAGACTATTCAATATTAGTTCAGTTTTATATCACTTAATTACAATGCACAGGATGATATTGTTTCTTTGTGCTTCAAATTAAGCCTCATGATGATACTGAATTAATTAATGTATATGGCCACCATCTCAACAAATGAGTCAGGGTGGTGAACAATATTAAAAAGGTGAAACAAAAACATATACAAAAATTAAAATCATAGCAGCTGAGAAAAACATAATTAGCGAGGCTGGGAAATGGGCCTGAGCACTAGTTTTTTTTTTTTAAAATTAAACAATAACTAATCACTCATCTAGTGAGAAACTTCAAATTCAAAAAACTAGTCTATTTCTGCAATTTAGCCTATGGACATGTTAACCAAGCAAGATTTTCAAATGATATAATTCATGCAATTTGACAGGTTATGTTATAAAAAATGACGTAAGAAATTTCTTTCGAAGAAGATCTAGAAACGGTAAACCTAATAACCTTGTCTTCATATTGCAACAGAATAACCAGCAGGGAATGGCTTTGTGCATGTGTATACAAGTTTAAGTTCAGGACACTTAGTGTAACTTATTACTTTAAAATTAACAATGCAGTACTCTGTAAACCAAATCTCTATAGAAGCAATAGTGATGATTTACAGCTAGAAATTTCACCACAGTATTTGTGAAAAATAACGCAAGTGACTGCATTTATGTATTTTGTGATATCAAGGTCTTTTATCAATGCATGCAAATGTCTTGAATAACATTTCACATTTTTTTCAAAAAAGTCATACTTACATAATATAAAGAAAATGGCACTGACCACCACTCCTCCAGATATGACATGCTCTGTAGTTTCCTGGTGTGCTGGTTTGTTCATAGCACGAAGCTGGTTTGTTATTGGATGTGTCCAAAAATTACCAAAAATTAAAGCACTAATGAAAATGGGAAAGGATCCGTAACGGGCACATTTTGATACTTCCATCTTGACAAAACACACAGATTCTACATAGAAGTCCAAAATTATGACGAAAAAGATTATACTTAAAAATGGCATGATAAGGGAAGGCCATGATTCTACTTTGTTCTGCAATCAAAATATGCAAATATGTAAATACAGGCAGTAATATTTAAATGTTGTTATATATTATTGAACAAATGTGTTTTTTTTTACTTTTGAAACAACAGAAATTAGCATTTTATGATTTGAAAACAATATTGTGTACTCAGAATCTCTTAACAGTTCAGGAACCTACAGTATATTAAGAGAAATAAATATACATTGTAAAGAAATATTTTGTAAGATCAAATTAAAATTCCTGAGTACAACATTCATGACAAATCTCCAAGAATTTACTCTAGCAATCTCTACTATGCTCCGTAGTAAATCCAGAATCTTAACTGATCAACTTTCCAATCAGAAAGCCAGTTTGGTTAAGGTACCAGGCTAGAAACCAGGTCATGAGTTCTAGTCCTGCTTTAGACACAAAATCAGCTTTCTGACCTTAAGCCTTTCTCAGCTCTAGGAATGAGGCAACAGCAAACCACTTCCAAAAAACCTTAACAAGAAAACTGCAGGGACTTTTCCAGGCAATTCCCAGAAGTCAAGAATGACTCAAAGGTACCCCAACATTTTCCAATTATAGCCTATTAGATTTATAAAAATATTTAAGGAAAAATTAGCAAAATTCGTAAAATTATAAAGGCAATGTTCTTATAGATAGCAAGAAATTGGATTAAATTGAAGAGTTATTAAAAAATGAAAGTGAAATTTAGAGTGGTAAAAATCTGCTGGAATTTTGATATCAGTTTCAGAAAAAAAAGTGGGCTATAGTTGCATTTCTGACAAAGCATACTTAGTATTCACCCATGTCTTCATAATTTCATCTAATGATTACTATAGTATTTTCTGTGTCAAGCTGTAACATACTGCAGAATCTGCTCCTTCAAAACCTCTTTCCCTTACCCTGAACAGGATGTGTCAATCTGGTTCTGCTTTGATTGCCCCCTTCCTACTTTTATGCTGAAGGAAATGATAAAGGTGGGATAGTCATACCAGGAGGGTGTTTTTATTTTATCCATTTTGTTCCCTTTTTCTTTGGGAAATGAGAGAAGTGCAAAAAGCCACTTCTTCTAGAGAATATGTTTCAAGATAGAACTGCAGAAGTTTCAATCCTGGCATCCCCCGTCTTTTGGGAAAGGCATGGAGCAGACAAAACTGCCTACCCAAGAGTCACAGCTTGAAGGTACTGACTGCATTAACAAAAGATGACTTAGATCACGGGTGACAAACTCACCACATCATATGACGTGTCGTGATGTATTGCGACTTGTTTTGCATTGCGGGAGCTGGGGTGGGCGCAGCCTCCACATGATACAATCAGCCTGCGAGCGGCAGTTTGACACCCCTGACTTAGATATAACACTTTGACATCAGAATGTTGCTTTCTCTTTAATAATCAAGTGATGCTAATTACCTCTGTTGTCAGAGACAAAACAATCACCCAAGGGCACAGAAGGAGAACTGAAACAAGATGTGATAATGATTGAAGGCGTTTGGCTCCACCAATATCTACTGAGAGTTTTCGGGAAGCTGTATGAAATCCAACTTTACAACACAATGCTAATACAAGCAAGATTACTCCACCCTACCAAAAGAAAAAAAAAAAACAGAAAGAAAGAAAAAGGCAGACTACAATTAGCACTCTAAAAACCAAATGCTCAATATTTCTTTAAGTGTATCTCCATGAATAAACAGCACATACTTTATATGTTTCTCAGAAAGCAGAGGAAAAGATGCATATAAAATTCTTGACAGCCCCCCAAATTTGTAAACAATTGATAAAATCAATGCCTACAGCTGTACCTAGTGATATCCAAGTTTCCAGTTTCCTAAATCCAAGTCCTCTGCTTCCTAACATACTGCCATTATGATACAAGTACATAAAAATGACTGCAAATTGGAGGCCATTAAATCAAAAATTATTTGTCAATGCTGTTGCAATATACAGCAACTGTAAATGTCTACGGAGATTCTCAGTAATCCAGGTCATATGGCAGTTATCCCAAAGGTGCTTTTTACGTGGCAACTGGACTTTCTTGTTTTTTTTTGAAGACGTTTTGCTTCTCAGACAAGAAGCTTCTTCAGCTCTGCTTTCAAAGAAAAACAAGAAAACCAGTTGCCTCATAAAAACCACCTTTGGGATAATGCAATGTACAATCTTTCTACTATGAAGTAAGCTATCCTAAGTATAAAGGGGCTTTCCTCCAGGTAAAAGGTGATTGAAAAACCTCCTTCATCTACAAAGATACTTACTGTGTATATATATATATATATATATAAAAATTGAAATAATTCAGCAGGATTATTTTAACAGAATTAATTAAAAGTATATTAATAGTACTTTTAAAAATATGTTTGATAACGTAACCAATTAAAAGAATTAAATAAGCTTATTAACTTTTCAATAGTTCATTTAGCATTTACCTTATGATCTGCAACTCCTAAGAAAGTGATGACTGTATAAAGCATATGGGTTAGAGCACTGTCATGATGTCCTTCAGCTAAAAAATTTGAAGTTTAGGAAAATTCTGCAATAGGACCTTATCCCTCACTAATTCAGGCATACGTAACATGAACTACATTCTGATTTATATTAATTACTTTATTGCAGAAATTAAATGAAAAATAATCCCTATAGTGAAAAAAATGAGTTTCGTATGATTTTTGGAGGATAAGCTGAGCAATACTCAATCACAGATGATTGCCTTAAAGATAAAAAACAAAGGAACAAGTAAGAGAACTTTTTAACAATCTGGGCAAATATTTTGGAATTCTTTTGTTCATGGTGTAATTTTCTTTGGTCTTGTAAGTGTTGATGTTATTTTATTTTGTTAACTGTTTATAACTATTTGGTTGATAGCTATTAAAAAACCCAGATCATCGAACACACAATGGAAACATTATTAGAAGGTATATGCTAAAATATAAATAACCATTTTCAATCTAATGGGAAATTTTTCAAAGTTGAGTTATAACCTTTAGACTGTAATCTTATGGAATAGTCTAACACTATCAATTCCTTCTTGTTCCTTATTTTTTATTCTTACCAAAGGTAATGTTCCATGACTTCAAGCAAAATGCATACCTATTAACAACCTAATCTGTAGACATGCCAAAAACCTGAATCTTGATTTATTAAGAAAGCTGGATCGTTATACTGCAGATACTTAATAGCCTCTGAAGGAGAGTTGTGTGCTTTATGTTCTTAAAGGGGCAGTATTGTAGTAATTATTTATGGGACCAACTTGAGAATTTTCCAATGTGAAGAAAGTGTCATTTAGAATCTAATTTTACATTCCTGGTCATAAAATTACAGGCCTACAATTTTGCTTCCTTAACATTTTTGAGAGGCCGAGGTTCATAAAGTAACAGGGTAGCATACAAGTGGGCACCAATATTTTCTGGGTGTTTGCAGGATTTTTTTTTATTAAAAAAACTGATTTAGATAAACCTTCAGTTATGACAGTAATTGGGATTGAAATTTCCATCACCAAGTGCTGTGGTCATAAAGTGGGATGTTATGTGACCACATCGTTTAGCAATAGCAATCCCTATTGTTGTTATTAACCAAATCTCATCAGTCACTAGGCAAGGATCCACTCAGATCCAAGCAAGTCTTGGCTTGGTCCCTTTTGAAGCACCCTTGCAGTCCTCAATGCAGGCAGGTTGCCAAGCACCCAAATTTTGATCATATGACTACAGGTGTGCAGCAATGGCCATAACTTTGAGGACCAGGCATAATTACCATTTGTCCAAAAGTGCCATAACTTTGAACAATCGCTGTGAGGACTACTTCTATACTTACTTCATTACTTTTTTCAGGTGTTACCTATCACAAGATGCTGGAAAACTGTGCTTTCAGCAACTGTGGTGAGAAAGAGTTATGATCACTGTAACAGCTGGTTTCACAAGCTGCATGGAGCCCTGGGAAGGTAGGTTGCCACCTTTGACCTAATGCTTAATTGGTGTTATCATGCTTATCTGCTGCTGATTTTCCTAAATGTCTCAGTAGCTTTCTGGACTGACCACAGCATTCTTTTGACCACCCTGCATGACCACCCTTAGGAGGAACTGTGATGTTGAATTTCCAACCATTGCTGGTAATCAGAAGGCAATACTGAGTGGCTAGGAGATTACCTATTACCTATTGCTATTACCTATTAGCAAGTTTATTTCAGAAATAATAATTGAATTGGGCACAATTTCTAACAGAATAAGTACTTCATTTTTTGCAATACGTTAACAGTCTCATGTTAAAATTAAGAAGTTAGTAGAAAATTTTCTATTATAAAATCAGAAAGGATACGGTGTTCTGCAATTTTAGCCATGAGATCATCATTATCAAAAAGCAGTAGGCAGACCACAGCAATTATAAAAAATGCCACACCTCTAGTCTGGGGAAAAAATGGAGAAGTTGGTTATAAAAGGAGACAAATACTCTAACTAACAAACTAACAGGTAATATGAAAACTTTTATTACATAAAGTTTTTTGAAAAACAAATGATACCTTTGTTGGCCCTCCTTTGGAACTAGTGAACAGGACACTGAGTAATGTAATGACAACTATATCACTATGTTCAAAAATCAACACAGTTCTGCAAAAGAAGAACATAGCATATAATTTTGTAAGACAGTAATTCAAAAACCTGAGGCCCAACACTCAAACAACATTCTGGAATTCTTCCTACCAACTTAATCAGAACAGTTGTTGCAGTACCGTCTCATTCTTCTCATCTGTCTATAGTTGGGGGATACAGTACTTCCCCTGCAGTTCTGCAAGGCACAACAGAAATAAAATTCTGCCTCTCTCTCTGGTTCAATGATGAACTACATATTAATAATTTCATCTATATTTTCTCAATAATACTTTTAAGTAATCTTGTACAGAATAATGCAAGTCCTACCCTTGAAGGACCTCCTTCTCCATCACTAAATGGATCAATTTCTGAACAGAGAGGTATGGGATTGTATTGAAGGGATGGGTCTAAGCCAGTGGTTCTCAACCTGTGGGTCGGGACCCCATTTGGGGTCGAACGACCATTTCACAGGGGTCGCCAAACAACGCAGTCCGTCATTTTTTTCCCCTTTTCCTTAGCTATGCTACTCCTTTTTATTCTATTGGCTTTTGAAAGCCAATAGAATAAACTCTCTTGAATAGAGTCTAATTCTATTGGCTTTCAAAAGCCAATAGAATTGTCCAGGCTGTCTCTGCCCTGCTGAGCCCGCCAAAAGTCCCATTCTGCAAATGGTGATGCACCAGTTGAGTAGTCCTCGACTTACGACCTGTTGAGTAGTCCTTGATTTACGACCGGTTGGGGGGTCGTGGCATTAAAAAGGTTGAGAACCACTGGTCTAAGCTAACATAATTTTTGTTTCGGCTAGCATAAAGTTATGAATTCTAGACCTAGTATACTGGTTTCAAACTACTGTAAGAAAAAATGTTAAAGCTTCTCCAAATGCATTAATGAACTTGGAGAATTAATTAATAGTCTAGGAAGTTGATGTCACAATCAAGGACATTTTGGGTATCTCAGGCTGTTTTAAGATATTGTATTGTAACCTTTTAGTTTAGCCTGTTACTGTGACTGGGTTCAAATACTGCTAATTTGAGCTGGTTGGGATGGAAATTTTGTTTTAATGCTTATGTAGGATTGGAGAAGGCCAACCTATATAAATGTGATTTGCACATCACATTTTTCATGGATAAACCCACAATATATTTACCTTAGTGGTCCACACAGAGTGAGGCCAAAAAACCACAAGAATGATATTATACAACCAACAACAGCATGTTTAATTATTTTGATCCACTGGAAGAGAAGAAAAATGCATGAAAATTCTTATACTCAATTCTGAATCCAAATCATTGTGTTAAAAAGTACACTCAATGTTTTGTTAGTTCATCCTGAAATATACAATTCAATAATTCATATTGAAACAGTTTTTAATACAATTGCAGAAATATAGAACTTTGGAGACCATTTGATGCCTACTAATTTCTTTTCTCTGCAGTATCGAAAGCTCTATAGGACTGTGACACCAAACTTTACCATCCTGAGAAAAATATATAAAATCATGTTAATCTTTCACTGTTGAACTATTAACATTGTTTATAAATAGTGAAAAACTCCAAAATCCCCCCCCCCCAAAAGAGCTGGAGAATTCCAGTCCTTATCTCACTTAACAAAATAATTTCACTACCAAAATACTATACCCCCAATTCTAGATTGAATGAATTAATATATAGCAATTAAACTCAGAATACTTGTTGCTAAATTTTCTCACAAAATACTGCATAAAACTTCTTCCTAGAAGGACCCCAATATTTTAGCTTTCAGAAAGGCTTTAAAAAGCTGGCTCTTCCCCCAAGCATTGGGAAAGGGTGAGGTTAGAACCGGGTATTTGGTGATGTACTGCTTTTACTGTTTGTTGTTGTTATTTTTGTTTTATTGTTGTGAGCCACCCAAAGTTGTGGCACTTTAAAAAATGCATGAAAATAAAGGACACCTCTACCTGAAATACAGATAGTCCTTGACTTACAACAATTGAACCCCAAATTGTTATGCTAAATGAAACATTTGTTGTGACTTTTGCCCCATTTTACAACTTTTCCTGTCACAGTTGTTAAGTGACTCACTCAGTTCTTAAATTAGTAACATGGTTGTTAAGTGAATCTGGCTTCCCCATTGACTTTGCTTGTCAAAAGGTCACAAAAAGTGATCACATGACCCCTGGATACTGCAATCATCATAAATATGAATCAGTTTCCAAGTGTCTGAATTTTGATCATGTGACCATGGGGAGGCTGTAATGGTCATGTGTGAAAAATGGTCATAAGTCACTTTTTTCAGTGTCGTATCTTTGAACAGGCACTAAATGAACTGTTGTAAGTCGAGGACTACCTGTAATGGCAGCTAATATATAATTTCTTGACCTGACAATTGAGCTTGTGTTACTGAAGAGAATGGCATTTGGTCTTGGATTGCAAATGTAACAAAGTATAAATAATGTAGAGAACTAATATTTTGTTTTCAATGTATTTCAATAGGCAACCTGATTATCAATTCTTAACTTTTATAAACTATGCAGAGACAGAAATATGTAAGACGCAATATTTTTAAGCTTTCCAAAATGCATTTTCCCATGCAAATCATGAAAAATATCTTGAATCTTTCATATGATTTAATACAACTTCGGAACAGTTTCTGAATACTACAATTAATTTCCAATTGAAATAAGCATTATATCATTGTAATTCCAAATGCTATGTTCTGATCTATACATATGGCACAGCTTGTCTAGATGCTTTAATAATTCCTTTAAACAAGTTCATATAAACATGATCTCTGTAACCAAAAGTCTTACACACCTGATGCTTAGTTACTGGTTTTCCAGAAGAAAATGGTTTTTGAATCAAAATCATAAAAAATGCAGATCTGTACAAATACAAAATCCTGTCAGTCAATGATTGCACTTTAGAAAAAAAAATCAGTGCCTACATTACATTTATATATCCTGTAAATTTGGCTATGTCATTTTAAAGCATTCATTTCACAGAATAAGACAAATCCATCGTTTCTAATCTGGAACCCAGCAAATCTTATTTCATATAGGAATTAATATGGATTTATAGAAAGCTACAGAAAAACAGCATTCCTGCTTTATTTATGCATTTATTTTTACATATTTAAAAGATATGTAGAAATAATAAATACATCCGCAACATTTTCACTAGCCAATTAGTCAAAAGCAATTTGCAAACATATTTCTTTTGACAATGGTCTCAACTCTAAACTGATGCTAATTATTTTAGCAAACTACTGTTGCAGACTTTTAGTGACAAAATAAAATAATTTAATTACAATGACTTGATTGACTCAAACAGTGACTAGAGATGGCTATGAAAAAGAATTAGAATTAGGAAGTATGCTTGGTTACAGGGGACCATCAATTTTCAAACAGTTCTTTGATCTCAACAGTTTATGATGATGACCACCTCCCCCAGGAAAAATGTTTAGATACAAATGATAATAACAAGTGCTGAAAAAAATAATCAAAAGTCGACTCACCCAAGTTTTACAATGAAGATAAATTGTACAAGATGAACTACTTTCAAGAGATCATAGGATTCAAACAATCCTAGAGCCTTCAAAAATTTAGTTAAACATAGTAACACTATATATTTAGTCAGGCTGAAAAGAAGAAAAAAAATGTTAAATGCTAACTTTTCAAGCAAGGCAATACAATTATATAAACATATTTTAGATAAGTTAATTTTCAATGTATCAATTCTAGAACAGAAACTACTGTAAGGTCATAAACATTTTTTACTCCTAATGGAAAATCAAAAGTAAGCCAATTTAAAAACTTAATTACTTAACTTGAATATATATTTTAATGGATTGCATGAAATTGATTCTGATCTATAATGCCCAATGGCTAATTAAACATTTAAGGTGTAAAATGCTAAGAGAACTAAATGTGCCTAAGGTTTTATTTATACTCTGGAATTATATGAATTAAGCATAATTGTACTATTCATGAGGCATTTGTTGCTCAAAATACTATCCCCTTTTTACTGTAAGTTATTTAAAACAAAAGATGCATGCTGGATTGGTCCAGTGCAGCAGTGCTAATAGCAAACATTTACTATTAGCAAGTAATATCCCGCTTGTATATTTATGGCTTTATAGTCCAATACAACAATTTAATATGCATGAATAAGTTATATAAAACCAAGACACTCAAAATTGTAAGGAGCCAGTTGACTTCTACAATATAGGCTAAAGTGACAGATAAAAATGAGATACTGATTCAGTGTCTAAAATTCAGCATGTTCAAGTATGGGAAATTAAGGTCTGTCCAGGTTACCATCTGATAGATAATACACTGATTTTAGGACAGAAAAAAAAAGCCTTCTATGGGGATTTTGGGGGAAAAAAACCCAAGGAAGTATCCAAGGAGTGGGGTGATTACACTATAATAAAAATTGGTAAATTTTACCTGCTTATCAGTCATAGACTATCTGCTAGGGTTTTATTGGGGCCTAGGATAAATAAAATTGGTTTCGACAAATGAAAATATATTAAAATTGAAGTATGAATCTGGTACAGTGTAGGCTTTAGTGTAAAAGGACTGTTGCTATTCTAGATGAACAGTGATGTACGATTAAAGGAAATTGTGCATCTATATCTTTAACTGGGGAGCCAGTTTGGTGTAGTGATTAAGGCATCAGGCTAGAAAAAGGAAGCCTCTGGATCCAGCGTTAGGTACGAAGCCATCTGGGAAGCTTCTCTTAGCCCCAGCAAGAAGACCATGGTTAACTATTTTCGAAAATATCGCCTAGAAAACTGCATAGCTTTCTCTGTCTCTCTCATACACAATCTTTAATAGTTTTGCGGAGAAGAAATCCAGCAGGTGTAGGTTAACATAACGAAACCACAGGTGGGAAAGAACAGCTGCTTATCTCTGTGGCTTTCACCGTAAGGAACAAAGAACCTCTGAGGAGGATACGGAGCGCCTAAATGCAAAAGTCTAACGTGGCTTCCACTTTTGTAGCAGAGTCTTCCATAGACAGATCTGGCTCAAAGCCTTTGATTGCTCTACAGTGGAGACGATAGCACGTTAGCCCGGCTGCAGGCGGCGTCTCACCAAAGGGCCTTTATTCCCTCCCAAAGAAATAAGAACCCTCCTCGCAGGCTCCGCCTGGATCCCCTCGCCCCCTCGGCTAAGCGCTCCCAGGACGGTCAGTTACCGGGCGCTGGGCACATCCACAGGCCCCAGCCGCCCGCCTCTGGCCAGGGCCTCGCTGCTGCTCCCGCTGAACTTTTCTTCCATTGCCGGCTCTCACGCCCGGCCTCCTCAGCCGCCACCGTCGCCACCTCCGCCGCCGTGGGGCCTCCTCATCCTCCACGGACTCAGCCGGATGAGCGAAAGGTGAATGACGGCCCGCAGCAGGCTTCAGCCCGCTGCGGAAGAGGAAGAGGCCGGTGAGCCAAAAGCCACGTCCTCAGTAGCCGCCGGAACTGCAGAGAAGCGGAAAGGGGAAAGCGGGGACCGGAACATAAGAGACGCTAGCTGCTCAACTTCCCATCTCTTCCCCCGTTCCGTACTGAATGGATTCGCCCATCAGGGCTTTAGGAAATGGTATGAAGCAGCGCCATCTATTGGCCTATGTCTGCATCGTTTTCTTCCTGGAATGATGCTTACATTACAATATTTATGTCCATTTTCTCTGGAGCAGATTCTTTCTGAGTTCTTCAAACACGGTCATGTCATATTGTTGCTCCTTGTAATCCGGTATTATTTAGTTGGCTATATGGGCTTAGATTCAGAGTGGAAATCTGTGGCCTTCAAATATTGACATATCACAGTTCCCATAATCTGCAACTGCCTTGGCCAGTGGTTCCTATCTTTCTTTTTTTTTTTTATTGAAAATTTTTATAAATTTTAACAAAAAAACAGAAGAATAACAATACAACAACAACATAGACAAGAAACAAAACAAAACAAAACAACCCTTTCCCTACCCCCCCCAAAACACCCACTCCCTCCCCCCCCAGAGCTTCCCAGAGCAGAATATAGGCTTAATTAAAAAAAAATTAAAAAGTTATATGAAAAAAGAGAGTATAACTAAGATATATGTATGTATATAAAAATAAAAGTTATAAAAAAGCTAAATAATATTTTTTATATCCAATTTAAATTGTATAAACTTTATCCATTTATCCCAAACAGCAAAAAATTTCTCTTGCGATTGTTCTTTTAAAAAAGCCGAAATCTTTGCCATTTCCGCCAAATAAGACACTTTAAGAAACCATTCCTGCAGAGTAGGCAAAGATTCCTTCTTCCAATATTGTCCTACTAACAGCCTTGCGGCTGTAATCAAGTTTAACATCAATATAACCTCCTTTGTGTCACAATCAGTAACTATACCTAACAAAAATAATTGTGGAGTAAATTTTACCCTCCTTCTAAAAATTCTCTGAATATTCCACCATATCTTAATCCAAAAGGCTTTTATATTTCTACACGACCACCAGATGTGATAGTAGGTGGCATCCAAACAACCACATCTCCAACATTTAGGCTGTAGGTCAGGGTACATAAAAGACATTTTTTGTGGGTCAAGGTGCCATCTATAAAACATTTTGTAAAAATTCTCCCTTAAATTCTGTGCTTGTGTAAATTTAACATTTCTCACCCAAATGGTTTCCCAGGTATCCAGTAGGACTGGTTCACCAAAATTTTGCGCCCATCTGATCATACAATCTTTAATTAATTCTGTTTCTGAATCCAATTCCACTAGAACCCCATAAATTCTCTTAATATGAGTTAGTCTTTGGTCCTTCACTTGCTTAATAAGATTTTCATCTTCTCTGAGAAAACCCACCTTACGATCCATCTTCCATCTATCTACTAATTGCCTATATTGAAACCAAGAATAAGTAATGTTTTCATGTACTAACTCTTCCAGTAGTTTTAACTGCCAATTTTGTCCATCCCATCTAAGTAACTGTGTATAAGACACCATGTCCATTTTAACCCCTCTTTTTATTCCTTCTATCGCATGCCAAGGTATAGCCCATAGTGGTACTTTAAAATCACTTTTATAATATTTTCTCCAAACCCTAAGTAAAGAAATTCTTATGATATGAGATTTAAAAGCCCGATCCACTTTTTTATTAAATATTAAATAGGCATGCCAGCCAAAAAGTAAGTCCCATCCCTCCAAATGGAGTATCTCAAGGTTTGTTAAATTTACCCAATCACTGATTGATGTTAAAACCACCGCATCATAGTATAATTTCAAATTCGGTACCTTGAGTCCACCTCTCTCACGGAAGTCTTGCATGATTTTAAACTTAACCCTTGGCTTTTTCCCTGCCCAAATGAATTTATTGATTCCTTTCTGCCATTCACTTAAGTTAATCTCATTTTTCAAAATCGGTAACATTTGAAACAAAAAAAGAAACTTGGGTAGAATATTCATTTTTATCACTGCAATTCTTCCCATGAGAGATAATTGCAACTTCTCCCAATTCCTCAAGTCTTTCTGTACACTGACCCACAACCTTTCATAATTATTTTTAAACAATTTTGCATTAGAAACAGATAACATCACCCCCAAATATTTTACCTTGTTGACAATTTCAAAACCCGTCAGGTTAGCCAAAATCTGCTTCTCCCGAATAGTCATATTTTTAGGTAGGATTTTAGTCTTATTAACATTAATCTTAAAACCCGAAACCGAGCCATAATGATAAATCAACTGCAATAACTTTACTACAGAGTAGTTAGGTTGCGACAAAGTAACCACCAAGTCGTCCGCAAAAGCTCTTAACTTATACTCTTTTTTGTTAACTTCTATTCCTTTTATTTCCTGCGACTCTCGAATTTTAATCAACAATATTTCCAGTGTTAAAACAAACAACAACGGTGATAATGGACATCCCTGTCTAGTACCTTTCTCTATTGTAAAAACCTCTGACAAACCTCCATTAACAATAAGTTGTGCCGTTTGTTTTTGGTATATTACCGTAAGAGCTTGTAATATCTTTTCACCAAAATTCATCTCTTCAATTACTCTTAACATAAAATGCCAATTCAATTGATCAAAAGCTTTTTCAGCATCTAAAAATATCAGCCCTGCAGAAACTTGGTTATTCTTGTCTAGATATTCTAATAAATTAATGATTTGTCTAGCATTATTTTTCATATACCTACCAGTTATAAACCCAGATTGGTCTTTATGCACAAGATGATGCACAACCCTCATAAGCCTATTTACTAAAATTTTTGCAAATATCTTATAATCAACATTTAAAAGAGATATAGGTCTATAATTCTTTGGTAAAGTAAGATCTTGATCTTCTTTTGGAATCAAAGATATAAAAGCACTACGCCATGAGGGAGGAATCTCTGAACCCTGTAAAATGTCATTAAAAAGATCACCTAATGGTTGGATCATCTCTTCCATTAAAGCTTTATAATAAACAGATGTCAACCCATCCGTACCCGGTGCTTTCCCTGGTTTCAATTGTTTAATTGCTGTCGCAATTTCCTCATTAGTAATTAAACCATTAATTTCCTGTTTCTGGTCATCTGTCAGTTTGGGAAGGCTGGCCTCGCTTAAATATTTATTTATATCTAAGATTTGCACATTCGTAGATTTATATAATTTCTGATAGTAATCTAAAAAAGATTTCTTAATCAATTCCTTCTGAAACACTAATTTGCCCTTATAGTTTATTTTGTCTATTATTCTCTGTCTCTGTTTCTTTCTTAATTGATAGGCCAACCATCTCCCTGGTTTATTAGCATTACAAAATGTATTTTGTTTCATAAACAATAAATTAGTTGCGGATTGATCCGCCATCAACATATTAAATTGTGTTCTTAATAACTTTATAGATTCTTTAATCCTTTCATCTGAGGGATTTAAAATCAAAGACTTTTCTTTTAATTTAATTTCATCTTCCAATTCTTTACGTTTCTGAGTCTGCTTTTGCCTATGAAAATTATTCATTTTTATCAGGATCCCACGCATGAATGCTTTACCTGCATCCCATACCATTGATATTGAAGTCCCCTTATACATATTTAAAGCAAAATAATCCTTTAAACACCATCTTTCTAACAAGATAGTCTGCACTTGAATTAGAAGCTTTCCAGTGGGAAAATACTTGTCCTGCTGTGGGCTGTGGCTTCTCCCAAGAATTCATTGGATTCATTTAGAATTCTCAGATAAAATAAGGTACAAAGTTGTAGTCTAATAATGACTCAGAAGCAAGTTCCAAAGACTTAGTGGAATAACTACATTGGATTGCAACTTAAAGTCTCCTATAAGAAGCTTTCTCAGAAATAAGCTCCATTCAGATTGAACCCAACAAGATTTATATTACTGGATCAAGTGTTCCACTTATGACTACAGGGCAAGAGTCTCTTCTTAATTTATCAGATGCCGTGTGATTTCTGGCACACCATATTGAGGAAGGAGTGTAATTTCATACCTTGCCATCCAGGCAATGGAGCTTCAATTTGTGACCCTAAATTCAATTTCACTCTCTGATGTCTTGGCCAGGGTATTTACATCTGTCTGCTTGTCACTTGTGTACTGTCTGAATTTTTTTGCTAGAAAGCCCAAGTGAAAAGTGAGACTGGAGCTGACCATATCTGACCCCAATAAGGCAGACAACTCACCCAACCTTTGGGTACATACTTCTCTGCTTTCAATGCACTTTCTTCCACGAGTATATCACAGCAAGCTAATTTGATTATATATGGGCAAAATCTATGTATCAGAACATCCTTCTGTTCCAACATTACTTCATTCAGATTGATTATCTCATAATGTACTTTTACTGGCATGTCTTCAGAGGAGAGGGAAGACACCTAAGTCTACTCTAAGCAATGCTGTAACTCAGAGGTGTACAAATGGAGTGCCTAAGGCAACATAGAACCATCAAAAGTTTTGGATGCAGCTATGAAATACCTCTATTATTTTGAAATTGCATCCCTTAATCACTCCTGCTTTCGGATACTATAAATGTCCCCTTATTTATGTTAAAGATAAACAATCTTTTCAACAGGGGAGTTGCATGTTTTCCTCTTATTCTGCCTGAGGGCTGGAGAGGGCATTCAGCATGACTAATAAAGTTGGGATATAGCTGTATGGAATAAGGCTATAATTATGAAGCTGTTTATCCCCATTTTGAAGGCTTGCAATGGCTTTTCAGCAATGAAATTAATCCTTTAAGCCTTGAAGAGACTTAAAACTTTTCCAAAACTATTTAGGATGTTCAGAAGGACTTACAACTATGTTGAGGCTTTGCCTTAAATCAAAGTGGTGTATTAGTTATGTTGATGGACTCATCAACATAACTTAAATCAATGTGGTGTATTAGTTATGTTGATGGACTCAAAAGAGGTTCAGATCCATCTCTAGTTCTAAAAGCTCAATCTCTCTCGAGCTCAACTTATCTTACAGGGTCATTCTTGTGGAAAAAGCAGGAGGAA